GTCAAGAACCTTTCTAGCGTGGATTACCTTCATGGATGTCTAGCTTTCCCCGTTGATAAAGGGACTAGATCGTGAAGATCTATTGGATTACCTTCTGCTTTTCAAGAACTCATCATGACCTTGATGAGACTCAAACTAAGTATGCCTCCCGCAGATGTCGCTTATCGACATAATGTTTCCGTTTCTACTGTGTCAAGAACCTTTCTAGCGTGGATTACCTTCATGGATGTCTAGCTTTCCCCTTTGATTAAGGGGCTAGATCGTGAAGACCTATGGCGTACTATAACTTAATGTTTCCAGTTTCCATTAGGAAAAAAGACGATAGTACTGCAAGGTCCATTCTAGGCCGCGTTTTTTCGTCATGGAGGCGGAATATTCTATTCTGACGCAAAATAAAATGATCGTGGAGTCTTACTGACGCAAAAAACAAACAAACAAACAAACAAACAAACGAAAAAACAAAAAACAAACAAAAAAAAACTTAAAAACAAGTCACCTCATACTTCTAAAGCAGCAGGCAGTAGTAAAGGTAAATCAAACAAATATGAGTACTAACTAGCCTAAAATGAGCGCGCAAAATAATGAGTATAATACATTTTGTGTTAGGCGTTCCATGCAATTCCAAGAGATACTAGAGCGTACTTCGAAGTTTTGCATACGTTGCTTTAGCGATTGATTTACGCTTCGTTTGAAGACTTTGGTCTTGTGTTCACGTTTCATTATGAGACGACAACAAAAGCTTAGTGTGTTTTTTAAGCAAAAGAGAATGGCAGTTGGACCTGAAAATCAAGAAGATGGGCTGAATAAGTATGGTGAAGCTGAAGAGGTCAGTTGGACAATAAGTCAACTTTCAGAAATTCAAGAGCCAACGGCCTCAATTTGAACGAGTACTGTGATAAATTTCCCTCCTACGTGGAAAATTGTTTACCCTTGACTACAGGATGACGAAGAAAAAGGCATTCATGTTCAATCTGTGTGAAACACTAAAACAAAAATGCATTTACCAAGAGAACGAATAACTTTCGATCTTTTACGCTTGAACGACACGTGGCTCACCAACGCCTTGAGATTCAATGCGATGGGAGTTCCAGCGTGCATTGAGGAAAGCTCTCGATGAAAAAGAAGAGACAGTGCTGGTTGGATTGGTAGCAGTATACTGGGCAGTAAAGGAGCACCTTCTAAGGCACCAGTATGAAAGTCTCATTTCTTCGCCAACACATGTAGAGCTACAGCGCTCGTACGTAGGTCACCTCAGTTATGGAGAAAATGCACCTTACATAAGTGATGTGAGGGCGAATGACATGCCGGATTCAATTGCTACAGTGATACGGAATAAAATTGACAATAAATTGCTGATCCCTCAATTTGTGAGCCTGTTCATTGACGAAGCACTGACATAGCTGTCCGCTAAAAGCTGGCTATTTATGGTCGTGTTCTTGATCCAGAAACATTTGAACCATCTGCTCACTTTATAACAAACATCAGACTTAAAAATGGAACTTGCAAAGCTATTTCTGAAAAGGTAAAAAATATCGTGGAAGAGAAAGGCCTTAAGCTGGGAAAAGTGATAGGCCTTGGTACGGATGGAGCTAGTGTGATGACGGCAACAGAGGAAGGTGTAACCTGTCACTTACAACGTGAAAACCCATTGATGATAAATATTCCCTGCATGGCGCATCGCCTCGAACCGGCCTGGTAAGCTCACAAGCTTCAGCATCAGTGAAGTACTTGAAAGAGTACCAGGAGATACTGACAGGTATTTTTTTCTTCATGAAGGCAACATCTAGTCGAACTAACTAATAGACCTCACTTAGTCAGAAACTACTAAATGAACCTGTACTGAAAGTAAAGGAAGAACATGAAATGGGATGGTTGGCAGTCTATCAAGCAGTAAAGATGGTCTACAGAAGTCTTGACTCTTTATTAGTTTTCTTTCGTGGCGAGACTAGTGCAAAGGGAAAGGGCTACCACAATAAACTCATACAACATGACTTCAGGGGGGCGGGTAGCTTCTGCCACTACGTATGAAAAATAAAAACATTCGTGGATTGGTTTCCATGTAGCTCTAAACGGCCAAGCAAGGACTGATCAATTGCTCATTTGTCATCATTTGCTGGATAGTTAAAAAAAAAATATTTTGCTACTCGCCAAGGCTAAAAATTGTTATGGGAAAATTTCAAAACTAAGTCATGAACGTTGGGCTTCAGTTTGAGATTATCATCTTAGTCAACATGATAAAAACGAATTATGAAAGGGAACAGATAGGGCATAAAGTAACCAGTGTTATTTAACGTTATTTAGTTATTAAAACAACTCATTTACCATACAATATCCAGCCCCTTGCAGTTTAATTTCATAAGGATTTTGGTGTCTTGTTTTGAGTAGGTAGCTAGAGTCTCACCCCTCCCTATAACCCATCTACTTTTTCATTCATAAATAACTCACTTTGTACGAAGATGTAGACATTCCTACTGTCAGGGTGTCCCACACCATTAGTGGCCACACATCTGTATTTTCCTTCATCCTGTTTACCAGTGATGGTCAAGGGAGAGTGCACAGGTCTCTCGTCCGAGAGTCTTATCCATGCAATACTTGGTTCTGGATTACCATCAGCTATACACGTTAGATTCAGTGTATCGCTTTCATTTACTGTCAGATTGCCAGTAATGAATGAAGTAATATTTGGTTTATCTGTTAAAAAAAAAAAAATAATAATAAAAGACAGCACATGCAGTTTGATTCTTGAAACCTGTGATAAGAATAAATCAGCATCTTCAGCGTCTCAAAGAAAATAAAATCAAAAGTAAACATTTTCGTATCTTAAGTAAGTATAGCTGCTACACCAGTTGCTAGAACTAAAGCTTCACCATAAGGTGCTGCAGCTCCCTTTTTCAAGGAATGTTTCATTCCTTGACAAAATTTAGCGCCAGTTACAAGCCTACACTATGGAATAAAGGAAAATAATTATTCCAACGGTAACCGCGGCTTATTGGTTAATTGGTAGAAATTCTAAAATGACTCATAATCTCTTGAAAATAAGAACCAATGAGCCTAAACGAAAAAAAATTAACACCGATTTACCCCGGTTTTACCACCTCATCAAAGGCGTTTACCACCTCAGGCGTACTTCTCTCCCTTTTATTCGGCCCTCGCGGACTAATTTATCTTATCCGTCCCTGATAATGCCGTTGAGCGGCGAAATCTCGGACTTCTACAATATTTTGCAATATCTTACAGTAATTCAAGGCCACATCAGTGTTTTTGTTGTTTTACACAAAATGTTACTGAAGGACAACATTCAAGGATCGAAAAAAAAGCTGAGCCTAAAGGTAAAAAGTTACTGCTGGGATACAAGGAAGGTTGCTATGGTACAAGCTTGATGGCTTGTATGTCTTATGCACTGATAAATTCAAAGCTTCACCCCCCAAGTAGACCCACCTCAGCTGAAGCAAGGTTCAAATTCCCTATTATCTCTCCATGAAATGGCATAATTAGTTGTACTACCAAGATTATTGTTTGATCTTTAATTTCTGAAACATTTCTGCTGACCATCAGACAAAGAACACATAACAC